ACCAAAATACTCTCCAAGGAGAAAGGAAATTTAACAGGTATCCACAATAAAAGATTTTCTAAGTTTTTCAAATTCCAACTTGTGTGAAGACATAAAAGTTGATGAAACCATGTGCCTTCCACTGTCTTCAAACCTCCTTGACATCTATAAACAGAGTGTCTTCAAAATCTCTGCTCCAAAGTTTCAATAAGGTCCCCTTAAGTCACAACCAAAGTTTAACCAATTAAACTGGCTATTACAGGCCAACTTATAAAGAAAAGAGAAGAACATTTAATTGGAAAGCAAATAACCTAACAGCAAGCGGTAGACACATTTCCCAATTAAAAATCTGACAAGAACTCACAAAAAGAAAATATCTCCAAAATGTCATCTTGCTTATTCCATGTAGAGAGGCTACCTCCTCCAACCTCACACCGAACAAAAGGTTAGGGGGGAAAATCAATAGAAAAGTAGGAAAATGCCATGTGTATGCATGTGAGACTGTTCACATCGCGTGTCAACAGGTCATCAGGACCACCCACTTGGCTCCATTTTACAGAAGCTGTGGGCAGCAGAGTCCACAGACCAGATTCCAAGTAGTACTGTCCCCCTGGAAGCCCCATGTCACAGACCTCAGGACCTCTTCTATGGCAACCTGGGAGTCTATCCTCTGAAACATGTGATCGACGTGAAACACTGTTATAAAATATTTTCTAAATGATTAGGAATTCTTAGTTATGAGTCTCAAGCTACTTAAAAAATATCTATCTACCAAATATATTATTTGTATTACAATTATACAATACTTTAAATTATTTTGGCTTTCAAATGTTTTAACGTACTAGCAAAACATAGAGGCATTACTTAATGACTTAGTATCATGGCTGGAAATAGCAATGAGATTTGGATAGTCCCTGTGTCTACACCTACTCTGACCTTAAGTCAAACCTGTATCCACCTGAAGTTTTTTTTTAATCTGGCATTAGGCCAGGCATGGTGGTTCACACCTATAATCCCAGCAATTTGGGAGGCCAGACAGGAGGATTACTAGAGCCCAGTAATTCAAAACCAGCCTGGGCAACATAATGAGACCTCATCTCCATCAATAAATAAATTAATTAATTAATTAAATTCAGTATTAAAAGATGACTATAGCAATAAATGCTATTTCAGCTATAAGAAATGGCATTTAAAAATGCAAAGTGTTATGATAATATACAATGTAGTACAGAAATGACATTTTTACATATCTGAGCCTTCAGGAGAATTTTTAACACTCAGTATTCAAAAAAGAAAAACTGTAATATAAAAGGATAAATAAGGCTAAACTGATCAAACTTTTCAAAAGACAATAAACTCTATCACTACCAAGTCATTTGCTTTGTGACAAAATGATAGGTCCATGGAAATATGAAAGAGAACTGGCATGTACCAGGTACATTTCAGGAATGCTCAGACTTTATAAACATGAGGATAAAATGGGTTTTCCTTTTTGAGGCATGTTGCCAAAGCAACCAGGAAAACTATCATTCTTGAGAGAAAATTTGAAAAAAATGTCAAAACTAGGAGGAAGCAATCAAAGTTTTATATAAGGAATTAAGAATAATGAGTACATGGGGGGGAGGGGGATGGGATTAACAGTAGCAAATATCTGTCTGGGGATGGGGAAACACCTCTTATCAACAGGGTGCCTGAATGAAACGTAACTGTACACCTAATCCTTAACTGTACCCCACAAAACCATAATAAAAAATATTGATCAATAAAAAAAAAGAATGATGAGTACAATGTTACAAGACTGGTAAAACAAAACAATTTGAACAGACACAAAGTACCAACCTCAGAGAGACAGCACAACTCACTAACAAGAAATGTACATTCCCCATTCTATTCTTCCCTGCAGGATCCTCCCACCACTCCCCACCCCAAACACCAAAGCAGTACTACCATTCTCCTCTCATTGACTGCCACTATTTATAAAATTTAAACTACTGAATATGTGCAAACACATTAGGAAGGAAACAAGAAGACAGAGTTAGCAACATCCTCATTCCAACTCAAAATTTTCCTGTGCCTTAAAGAAATGTCAAAATACAAACACCTAGTCACACTCAGGGGCTCAGCCTGTAGTTCCCAGCATTTTGGAAGGCTGAGGCAAGTGACTGCCTGAGTCCGCGGGTTTGAGACCAGCCCAGGGCAACTTGGCAAGACCTCATCTCTACGATAAAGCAAAAATTAGAAAAATGTGGTAGCACACACCTGTAGTTCCAGCTATTTAGAAGACTGAGGTGGATCGCCTAAGCCCAGCAGGTTGACGCTGGGGTGACCATGAGCATGCCACTGCACTCCAACCTGGGCGACAGAGTGAGACTCCAACTCAAAAAAAAAAAAAAGAAAAGAAAAGAACTACAAACACCAACACCATGAATCCCAATCCTTACTAAATTTGGCCAGAATATTGGGTCGGGACACTCTTATGCCATTTTTGTAACAAATATAAACTAAAAGTGTCACTCAGTGGTCTGAGGTGGTCAAGGATAAAGAAGAAAAGTGAAAAGCAGCTAGGCTCGGTGGCTCACCCTGTAATCCTGCGCCTTGGGAGGCTGAGGCGAGTGGACTGCCTGTGCCCGTGGGTTCGAGACCCGCCTGTGCAACTTGGTAAGACCTCATCTCTACAGTAAATCAAAAAATTAGCCAGGCGTGATAGTGCACACCTGCAGTTCTAGCTACTTGGAAGTCTGAGGTGGAAGAATCATCAGAGCCCAGCTCTCAAGGCTGAGGTGGCCGGGAGTGTCCACTGCACTCCAGTCTGGGCAACAGAGTGAGACTCCAACTCAAAAAAAAAGTGAAAAGCAATAATACACGACCAAAGTCCAAGTAAAAAATACCTAGGTCTAATTCATGGTGATACAGCAAAGATGATATAAATGGCACAAGAGATGGATGAATAATCACAAATTCATACTGCACACATCATCCAGCAGGAGATCCTCCCTGGAGAGCACCAAGGAATGGTCAGCCAAAGGCAACATATGTTTCTGAATCAGCATTAGTTTAAAAAAAAAACTTTGGGTTGGTTTCCATGCTGTTTTCAAATATCTGACAGAGTAAATTTAGCTGAACTGAAGAAAACATAAAAAGTATAAAAGAAGTGGGAACAGCTCAGAGTCAGAAGCGCACAGCTGAGATGGCACAAGCGTGCAAGCTGTTGCCTCCTCCAATCCCCACCTCACTTCATTGGAAGCAACCACTCCTCGACCCCATCAACTTGGTTGCTGGATTCTGTAGCATCTCTCCCTTTCATTCTTCTTTTTTTTTTTTTGAGTTGGAGTCTCACTCTTGTTGCCCAGGTTAAATGCAGTGGCATGCTTATGGCCACCACAGCCTCCACCTGCTGGGCGATCCTTCTGTCTCAGTCTTCCAAGTATCGGGAACTACAGATACACGCCACCATGCCCAGCTAGTTTTTGTGATTTATTGTAGAGATGAGGTCTCACCAAGTTGCCCAGGCTGGTCTCGAACTCCCAGGCTCAGGCAATCCTCTCATCTCGGCCTCCCAAAGTGCTGGAATTATAGGGTGAGCCACCGTACCCAACCTCCCTTCCATGTTTTGGTCATGGTTTTCTTACACATTTTATGCCCTAGGTAGCCTATGCTCTCCTCAAGGGTTACATCATGTCTGGTTTGTCTTGTTTGACTCAAGGCATTCAGTCATTCATTCATCAAATATTTACTAAGTCTTAATAAATGCCAGACTCTACACTACAAACTAGCATGAAAGACCTTTTGTTTAAATGAATATTCACTAAAAGAAAAAGTAAGTACGTTCTAAAGAGGATCCAAATAAATTCACATAAAGGTATTATAATTCCACAGAGGATGAAGAAGGGAAACTACAAATATCCTAGTTGAAGTCTTCGTATCATGAGACATTCTCACGCCACCTGTGTAGTCAGCGCAAGAATGTGGGCCAGTGGACTCGCAACAGAACGGCATGTCTTTGTACGGTCTACCAACTAGATGAAGTATTTCCACATAGAGAAAAATGATTCTCTTAATCCTAAAAGAAAACTGATCGTTATGATTTAACAGGCCCTTGTGTTGAAGTAGAGTCCCCTAAATAAAATCTTGAGGTGGGTCTTCATCAGTCAACGATTGGTGAGCTGTCATTCATCCAAGTGCATCCACCAGATAACCTGGCGTGAGGTTTATACAAAGACCACGGGGACACTCCAGCAGCCCTCCAAGAACTCAAGCAAAAGTTTAGCATGGGGGGGGGGGGCGGTACGAGTATTTGTTTTATGAAAGATAACTAAGCTGACATTCAATGCCAACAACGTAAAACACGTACCATAATGCATTTTGTGTGGGTGGTTTTGAGGCACTCCCAGCACCATCCTAGTGGGGCTGGAAAGGGCGCCCCCCCAACGCATTTCACTTCTCTAAATGGCCCCCCACTGCCGTCCCACCCCAACATCCTGGGGAAAATAGCGTGCACCGAGGGTCACTTGAAACGGGGTTATGTGTGTCGCTGCTTCGGTGTGCGGGGTCGCCAGAAAGGAAAGGCAGCTCGAAGTCGAGAACGGACGGCGCCTCGGCACTCCCAGTTCTGGTCCCGACGCTCGGCGGGCCGGCCCCGGGGCGGAGGCCAAGCGCAGGTGGCTCCCAGAGTCGCCGCGCGAGCACCGCCCGCAGCTCGAGACAGGAGCCCGGAGACGAGGCGCCCTTCTCGGCGAGCCGCCCTTCTCGACGAGCCGCCCAGGCACCGCGGGAGTCCTCCGCGCCTTCCCGGGCGGGCCTCGCCGGACCCGGCAGCGTGCGGGCGGGCCCGGGCACCGGGGGACCCGGAGGCAGGCTGTGCCCCCAAAAGGCATCACCCCGAGAAAAAGGCCGGCGGGGGCCTGGGAGGGTCGGGGAGGCTGGGAGCGGGGGACCGCGGGTGGACCCAGCGGACCCGCCCCCTTCCTAAGCGGAGGTCGAGCCGCCGCCGCGCCTCAGACCCGGCCTCCTGCCTCCCTCACCTGATCACAGAGATGAGCAGCCCCGAGGGGTCTTTGCTTTTGCTGACTGAGCTCCTGTACTTGCCACCAGCTGCTTCCGCCGCCATCTTGGTGCGCGGGAGAGCCGGTCGGCTGAAACTCCGGCGAACGTGGCTGCGTAAGTGACCCCTCCGGGGCCGCCACCAATGGATGAAGAGAAGCCCAGAGCGCGGGAGCAGAGCACCCAATCGCTGGAGAGAGAAGGCGGGACCGGGGCGGAGCTTTAGGGGCCGCGAGGTGCGTGTTCGCTCTAAGCGCTCTGGGAGTCGTAGTTTTCCCTCCAGACTCTTGGCGCACGGGGTTACCAAGCCAGAGGCAACTTTGTGAAGTCTTGACCCGAGTGTCTTCCTGTACGTGTGTTCTGACGACTCTGGGCTTTTTCAGTTTGCTTGCTTTTGAAATCTTATCAGGTTTTTAAATTTGTCTGATGGTGCCAAAACGTGTATGTCAGGGTGTGTATTCAAATGAAGAAGGGTTTTGTGCGCTTGGTGCTTTTGTGAAAAGTTTTTACTTTTAAACAAAAACGATTTTTCAAAAATACTAGATGCGAAAATAAATATACACAGAAATGCCTTTCTTTAGTAAAACTAAATGATTCCACATTCGTTTTATGGAAGTTCAATTATTTTCCAATGTTCCTGAATTTCCAAATAATTCTAAAAACATACACACAGGAACACACAAATGAGTGTTGATAAAGAAAAGACAGTATAACCCAAAAAACCCTTACCAGATTGCAGATTCCTTTTCTTTCCAAGCTAAATAAAATACAGTTAGTGGTGATGCACCTTTGTATGAGTAGGTTTATTGGTCAGGTTTTACTATTTCCTGCATTTGACTCTATTGGCTTAGCCATTAATTCAGAAAAATGAACAAAAAACCAAGATTAGGTTGTGTGTAGAAAGTGCTAAGACTGAGGAACAAGAAGAACATAAATATTTTTAAAGTAGGGAGGGAGGTGGTCTGATCAGTAGCAATAAAGAACTTCAGTGATAAATAAAAAGCAAACTGATTCAAAGGTCCTGGAGGTGTGAAGCAGCACACTCTTAACACAGCAACCACTTTTATTAAACAGACATTGAGCTGAGCTAAAAAGTCAAGTCCACATTTTTTAAAATTTTAATTAGCTGGAAATTATATATATATATGCACACACACGTATGTGATAACTAAGTGTTTACAGCATTTGGCCCAATAATTCCTATTCTAGGGACTTTGTTCCCAAAGAAATAGAGATAGAGATAAAGTATTGAAATTTTTGAAACAACATGGCGATATTAAATAAATTACAGAATACTCATATGAGGGAAATAACATATACCCTCTGGAAATGATCATTGTAATGGCTGTTAATGAAAAGAAGATTTTTTATGGTATAAGTGCAAAAACAGCTATAAAATTGAATAATTCATAGAGAAAAGGAGAGGTAGCTGGGCCTAGTGGTTAAGAATGCAGGCTGCAGGAAAAAAAAAACTATGCTCATCTCAGCTGATGCATAAAATGCTTCTGTCAAACTCCAGCATCCTACCTTGATTTAAAAAAAAAAAAAACACTCAGGAAACTAGGGGTAGAAGGAAACTTCTTAAGTATCATACAGGGAAATTACTAAAAACCTACAGCAAACATCATATTCAGTGATGAGAAACTGAAAACTTTCCCACTAAGATCGGGAGCAAAAACAATTCTATTCAAGACAGTATCGGAAGTTGTAGTAAAGCAATGAGACAACAAAATGAATAAGTCATCCGAATTGAAAAGGTAGACGTAAAACAAAATCTATCTGTAGATGACATGATCTTATATATAGACTATTCTAAATGATAGATACAAAAAACCATTAGAGCTAATAAAATAATTCAGCAAATTTGCAGGATACAAAATCAACAACAGTAACAAAATCAGTGGTATTTTTATACACTGGCAATAAACATCCAAAAAGGAAATTATGACAGCAATTCAATTTACAATCGCAGCAAAAATACCTAGGAATAAATTTAACGGTAAAAAGTTTCTATTCTGAAAACTACAGAACATTGCTGAGAGAAGTTAAAGACCCAAATAAATGGAAAAGATCCTGTGTTTGTGTGTTGGAAAACTTAATATTGTTAAGATGGCAAACTCCCCAAGCTATCTACAAATTCAATGCACAATCTCTATCAAAGTTCACTTTTTTGAAGAAATAGAAAAGTTGATCCTAAAATGCACGTAGAAGTAAAAAGAACTTCAAATAGCCAAAGCACTCTTGAAAAAGATCAAATGTGGAGGACTCACATTTCCTGATTTAAAAACTTACTAAAAATTTGCAGTGATTAAAAGACTATGGTACTTGCATAAAGATAAACTCTTAGATAACTAATAGAATTGAGAATTCATAAACAAACATACACATCTTTGATCCATCAATTTTCAACAAAGGTGCCAGTACCACTCAATGGGGAAAGAATACTCTCTTTAACAAACTGTTCTGAAGGCCAGGCTCGGTGGCTCAGCCTGTAATCCCAGCACTTTGGGGGGCTGAGGCAAGTGGATTGCCTGAGCTCGTGGGTTTGAGACCAGCCTGGGCAACTTGGCAGGACCTCGTCTCTACAATAAATCAAAAATTAGCCAGGCATGGTAGCGCACGCCTGTGGTTCCAGCTACCTGGAAGGCTGAGGCAGAAGAATCACTAGAGCCCATCAGGTCAACACTGGGGTGGCCATGAGTGTGTCACTGCATTCCAACCTGAGCAATGGAGTGAGACTCCAAATCAAAAACAAAAAAACTGTTCTGGGAAAACTGGGTTTCTAAATGCAAAAAAACACACAAAAAAGTAGATGGACCCTACCTTACACCATATGCAAAAATTAACTCAAAATGGATCAAAGACCTAACTACAAGAGATAAAACTCTTAGAAGAAAGTATATGGGGTAGGCCAGGTAGGGTGGCTCATGACTGTAATCTGAGCTGAGGCAGGAGCATCACTTGAGGCCAGGAGCTCAAAACCAGCCTGGGCAACATAGTGAGAACCTATCTCTACAAAATAAAAAAAGAAAAGAAAATGTAAGGATAAATCTTCATAACTTTAGATTTGGCAATGAATTTTTAGCTATGACACCAAAAGTTGGACTTTGTCAAAACTGTAAACTCTTGTGCACCAAAGTACACTATCAAAAAAAGTGAAAAGACAGCCCCCAGGATGGGAAGCAATATAAGCAAATCATATACAGTATCTGATAAGAATCTTGTATCCAGAATACGTAAAGAACTCTTACTACTCAACAACAAAAGACAAAAAAAAGGTAAAAAACTGATCAATTACCTTCGATTAAAATTCTCCAAAGGAGATACAAAAATGACCAACAAGCACATGAGAAGATGCTCAGATCACTAGTCATTATAAGGAAATGCAAATCAAAACTAATGAGAGATGCCACTTCACACTCACCAAGCTGGCTATAATTTTTTTCATGGTTGGGTTATATTTTATTTTATATTTTAGAGACAGGTTCTAACTATGTTGCCCAGGTTGTTTCGAACTCCTGGACTCAAGTGATCCTCCTGCCTCCGCCTCCCAAAGTGCTGGGTTTTGCAGGTGTGAGCCACTGTGTCTGATCTATAATTTTAGAAGTGGAGAATGAATGTTGGCAAATATGTGGAGAAACTGGACACCCTGTACATTGCTATTGGAAATGTGAAGTGGTTCAGTCATTGTGGAAAAAGTTTGGTGGTTCCTCAAAAAGTGAAGCATAAGCCAGGCTCGGTGGCTCAGCCTGTAATCCCAGCACTTTGGGAGGCCGAGGCAAGTGAATTGTCTAAGCTTGCGGGTTGAGACCAACCCAGGTAACTTGACGAGACCTCATCTCTACAATAAAATTTAAAAATAGCTGGGTGTGGTAACACATGTCTGTAGTTCCAGCTACTTGGAAGGCTGAGGCAGAAGGATCGTCGGAGCACAGGAGGTCAACGCTGGGATGGTCGTGAGCATGCATGTCTCTGCACTCCAGCAGTCTAGGCAAAGGAGTGAGACTCCAACTAAAAAAAAAAAGTGAAGCATACAATAACCACATGACCCAGTAAGTCCACTTACAGGTACATTGAAAACAAGAATTCAAAAAATAGGTTGTTCACAAATGGTCACAGCAGCACTGTTCACAATAGCCAAAAGGTGGAAACAACCCAAATGTCCATCAGTGGATGAATGTGCTACAGTATGTGGTATGTTACTGTAGCACAAGCCGGATGCAAAGGGCCACATAATGGATGATCCCATTTATATGAAATCTCTGGAATAGGCAAATTCATGCAGATGGAAGGCAGATTAGTGATCACCAGGGCCTGTGCGGGAGGTGACAATGCTGAATGGATACATGGTTTCCTTTGGGGTGATGAAATGTTCTAGAACTAGCATTGATGGTTGGACATCTTGTGAATGTATTGAAGGACACTGAATTATTCACTTTAAAATGACTAAAAGTAGTTAGGTTGCCTTAGGCAAGTTACTTAGGATTTCTGTATCTCAGTTTCCTTATCTGGAAAGCAGGTGATAAATTTCCTTCACTTAGAGAGTTATTGTGAGACTATGTAAGCATACATTATCAACACTTGTAGGTATCAGCTATTATTACTAAGACATTGTACTAATTTTGTGTTGAATACATCTCTGTGGGTATTATGAAGTTTCTTCCAGGAGGAATAATATGGGAAATTTTTTTCTCTACACTTCTCTATGCTTTTCAAAGTTTCTGGTTGTTGCTTTTATTTATTTATTTATTTATTTATTTATGTTTATTTATTTGTTTATTTTTGAGTTGGAGTCACTCTGTCGCCCAGACTGGAGTGCAGTGGCCGCTCCCGGCCACCGCAGCCTCGACCTGCTGGGCTCTGGCCATCCTTCCACCTCAGCCTTCTGAGTAGCTGGAACTACAAGTGCGCGCTACCATGCCCGGCTAATTTTGATTTATTGTAGAGATGAGGTCTCGCCAAATTGCCCAGGCGGGTCTCGAACCTGTGGGCTCAGGCAATCCACTCACCTCAGCCTCCCAAAGGCGCAGGATTACAGGCTGAGCCACCGAGCCCGGCTAGTTGTTGCTTTTATAAATAGAAATAAAGAGTACTTTCTTTAACAGGC